CTACTTTTCCAAGCATTATATCTTTCTGTACGGGGTTGGCCTTTTCTGATAACATAGCCAAATCAAGCTTGGTTGTTATTGTTTACCATCAGTTCAGAACTGAACCATAGATGACCCTCTGGTGGGTTTTCAGAGGCGATTATATACACGGGAGTAGAGATTGCCCATCCTTCTCCCATGAAGCAGCTGGCGGATTTGAACCACATGCCTTAAATTAAGCTTTTAAAAAGATAAAAGATATATTTGTCTCATTTTCCCCCTTGATCATTAAATCAGAATTGAAGATTTTGTTAATTAGTAATTATACACAACTGATAAATCATTTTTACTTCATTTTACTGTTCCTTCAGAAATTATAGCACTAAATAATCCAGACAAGTTTTTCCAAAGTAGAAGCTTCCATAATCAGTGTCCACATTCTATTTTATATATGTAGATATATTTTAGAGATACAAAAGAAAATTTAAAAAGTCAATTTCTTTTATTGTAATGGAAAATGATAAAGCTTATTTGAAAAACTATATATATATATATACACACACACACACAATCATGTACCACAAGGGAGTTCTGATGGCCTAGTGATAAGAAACTGCATTGCCAACCCAAAGGTACATGGTTTGATTCCACTAGCTTCTATTCAGTATAAAATGAAAAAACGACTCTAAAAACCCACTGGAGGGTCAGCTACGGATTAGTATGACTTAACCATACACAACAGTGTGTACAACATAAAGTCCACTTATTCACACTCCAAACACATATGTGATCAGATCTTGATCAAATCAAATATGCAGCAATTATTTTATTAAAAGTGCACACTGTATTTATAGATATTTAGAGTCCATTTTCTTTAGTACTCATTTTCCAGGATTTCTGTCATACTTCTCCTTTTACAAGTATTATAATCTTGAGTTACTATAGCCTATTAAACCCTATGGGAGCTCATGTGGCCTAGTAGTAAGAAGCTGTGCTGCAATTCCAAAGCCATGTGGTTTGGATCCCCCAGATACTCCATAGGAGAAGGATAAGCAATCTCCTTCCTTGTGATTGACTGCCTCTGAACAGCCACCAGAGGTCAGCTATGAATCGCTTCTGACTCTATGGTACACAACAACCACAACAACATGATAGACTCTGTGAAATAACATGTTG